CTAGCTACACATTTCCCCATCTTTCAGGTAATCTGTAAATACCATCCCAATAGAACTTTTCTTACCACAGAACAAATGGTAATCTGAAGGAGCAAGGTCTGGTGAATACGGTGGATGGGTTAATACTCTCAGGCAAGATCTTTTAACATGTCTTTAACTGGTTTTGAAGTGTGTGATGGTTCATCATCGTGAAGCAAAATTAATTTGCCGTGTCTTCTGGAATATTCTGGTCATTTCATGATCAAAGCATGATTCAAATTGATTATTTACTGTCAGGTAGCTATTAGTATTAACAGTTTCACCTGGTTTTAGAAGTGCATAATACACCACACCTTCTCGATTTCACCAAACACAGATCATTGTCTTCTTTCCTAAGCGATTTGGCCTTGCAGTGGATGTTGATGTTTGACTTGGATCAATCCATGATTTTGTGTTTGGGATTCTGAAAATAAATCCACTTTAATTGTCTGTCACAATTTGGTGCAAAAAGACTTTCTTTCATGCCGTTGAAGCAACATTTTACTAATGACTTTTCAGTTTTCCATTTGTCTTTTGTTCAGTTGATGTGGCATCCATTTTCCTTCCTTTAAAATCTTTCCCATTGCTTGTAAACCCTCAAAATTGTTTGTTGAGCAACATTTAATCTTTCTGCAAGTTGTTTTTGACACACATATTCATCCAATAATACTTGTAATTGTTTGTCTTCAAACTTATTGGTTGACCTGGACGTTCTTTGTCTTTCACATTGAAATAATCACCTTTAAAGCATTTAAACCAGCATTCACAAGGATCTTGAGACGAAACATGTTCACCATAAGCTTCCCAAAGTATATGGTAACTTTCAGCAGCCTTTTCTTCAAAATAAAGTAATGAACTAAAACTTCCTGCAAATGATTTTTTTGAGGCATGAAATTGGACATTTTTAAGTGTAAAAATATCTCTGATGTTAACACCTTCAACAAATTTGACATATGAAGTTTTGAAGCTTGCTATCAATACAACAAAATAGCATACATATCAACATATGTATAACTACTGAAAAAACAAAAAAACAAAAAAACACCCCGCATTATTAACCAGTACACCTGGTAAAATTTGGTATGTATATTTCCCAGTATTTTTCCTAAATTTATTTAGAAATAGCTATATATACATATACTATATATACAAATGCTTTTGTTTATAAAAATGTATTCATATTATACAGTTGACCTTTGAACAACATGGGAATTAGGGGCACCGATATCCCACGCAGTCAGAAATCCACATGTATGTAACTTTTGACTCCTCAGAAATCTAGTTGTCTCTGGGTATCCATGAGTGATTGGTTCCAGAATACCTTGCAAATACTAAAATCCATGGATGCTCAGAAATAAAAAAATAAAAAAAATCTGTGGATGCTAAAGTCCCGTATATAAAATGGTGTAGATTAATGCATAGTCAGCCCTCTGCTTCCATGGACTCCTAACCATAGATAGAAACATCACAGGTATTTATTGGGAAAAAAAATCATGAACAAATGAACCTGCAGAGTTAAAAGCCATATTGTTTAAGGATCATCTGTACATATTTCTTGCTTTTTAACCTGATATAAAACCGTGGACACTATACAATTCAGAATGTATTCATAGAAATGCCCCATTATTTTGATGGCTATATAGCATTCCACTAAATGGATATTCCATAATTTATTCATCCATTCTCTTACTGCTAGACATTTGGATTGCATTCAATTTATTTTTCGTGTGACTGAGATATAATTCACATACCACAAAATTTAACCATTTAAAGTTTACAATCATGGTCTGTAGTATATTCAGTATTGTACAATTGTCACTACAATCAATTTGAGAACATTTTTCATCATCTAACCAGCAGTGTTTCCCAAAGTGTGGTACGCATACCCCCAGGGGTACAGGAAGAGTTTGGTGGGGATACGTGTTGCACCGGAGTTTAGTGGGGATATGCACTGCACCATGCTTAGTTGTGCCTAATTCTACATTCTCATGAGTACGAGGGGTACTCAGCGTTATGAAAATTATAGAAGGGTTACACATATGTCAAAAGTTTGGGAAACACTGGAAAGCTTACACTTCAGTTATCACTCCCAGTCCTAAGCAATCACTAGTCCATTTTCTGTCTTTATATTTGCCAATTCTGGACACTTCATATACCAATAAATGGAATCATACAATATGTAGTCTTTGTAACTGTTAATTCATTCAGCATGTTTTCACGTTTTTTCATGTTGTAGTACTAATCAGAAGTGTTCCCTCCTTTATTTTTTGGAAGAGTTTGTGAAGAATCTGTATTAATTCTTCTATAATATTCACTAGAATTCATTTGAGAAGCAATTTGAGCTTGGCCTTTTCTTTGTATTTAAAAACATTTACTAATTAACATCTTTACTTGGTACAGGTCTTTTCAGATTTTTTTCATTGGCTTCAGTAGTATGGGTATTATATTTATTGGCAAATGATTATTCAGTGTTCCTTCATAATGCTTTATATTTCTATAAGGTTGGTATTAATGTCCCTCCTTAATTCCTGAGTCTAGTAATTTGGGCTTTCATTTTTTTTTTTTTCTGGTCAATCTACCAAAAGGTTTGTCACTTAAGCATTTTATAAAATCAATTTTGGTTTCATTGACTTTACTGTTTTTTCTATTCTCCATTTATTTAAACATTTTCTTCTTCCTTCTGCTTACTCTTAGTTTGCTCCTCTTTTCCAGTGTCTTAAGGTATAAAGTGAGGTCAGTGATATGTGATTTTTTAAAAACATAGGCATTTGTACTTACAATTTTTAAAGTATTGCTTTAAGTGCATCCCAAAAGTCTTGGTATGTTTTGTATTCATTTTCATTCACCTCAAAAGATTTCCTAATTTCTTTTGTGACTTGTTGTTTAACCCAGTAGTCATGTTAAAGTGTATTTAATTCATATTTTTTAGGTTTTTTTTTTTCTGTTATTGATTTCTAGTTTCATTTTTATGTGGTCAGAGAATTACTTTGTATGACGTCAGTCCACTTATATTTGAGGTTTGTTTTATGGTAAATCCTGTAGATGTTTCATGTACACTAGAAAAGAATATGCATTTTGCTCTTGTTGGATAAAGTATTCTACAGACCTCTTTAAGATACACACGAGCCGAAACCAGTTTGGCTCAGTGGTAGAGCGTCGGTCTGTGGACTGAAAGGTCCCGGGTTCGATTCTGGTCAAGGGCATGTACCTTGGTTGCGGGCACATCCCCAGTGGGGGGTGTGCAAGAGGCAGCTGATCGATGTTTCTAACTCTCTATTCCTCTCTCTTAAAAATCAATAAAATATATTAAAAAAAAAGATACACAGGATTGCATTTCTCAAGTTTTCTAATTTTTTTGTTTATCTTCTATATAGTTATTCTATTATTGAAAATGGGGTAGCAAACCCCCCAACTCTTATTTCAGATTTATGTATTTCTCCTTTTATTTCAGTTTTTGATTCATGTTATTTTGGAGCTCTGTTGTTTAGTGCATACATATTTATAATTTTTATATCTTTCTGATGTATTGATTCTTTTATCATTATGTCACTCATTATCTCTAGTAACAGTCATCATTTTAAAGTGCATTTTGTCTGATATTAGTATGGTCACTCCAGCTTTCTTATGGTTGCCATTTGCCTGATATTTCTTTCTATCTTTTTACCTTTAATCTGTTTGTATCTCTGAATCTGTATGACTCTGATAAATTGCATAGAGGTAAATCTAGTTACCCCACCCCCAGGCTGACACTCTATGCCTTTTGATTGAATTTTTTAATCCATTCATAATAATTATCATTCATATAGGTATATTTAGGATTGCAATTTTACTGTTTTCTATATGTCTTGTATTTTTGTTTCTCCATTTCTCCTTTTGCATTACTTCACATTAAAATTTTTCTAATGTAACATTTAAATTTTAAATATTTTCACTGTGTATTTTCAGTTATTACCTTGGTTGCTCTAAGAATTACCATGCATATTCTAACTAAATTGTCTTCAGATATGTCCTAATTCCAATGAGATATAAAAAACTTATTCCTATATAAACCTACTCTATTCCCTACTTCTTTATGGTATTATTGATATATATATATATATATATATATATATATATATAATTATTTCTACATGTTATAAACATAATACATTGTCTTATTACTTAACATAATTTTATGTCTTTTAAAGAAGCAGAGAGAGAAGAAAGCAGAACTACCGTGTTTCCCCGAAAATAAAACATCCTCCGAAAATAAGACCTAGCACATGGAAAGATAAGATCCCCTGAAAATAAGACCTAGCGCAACTTTGGGAGAAAAAATTAATATGACACTGTCTTATTTTCTGGGAAACAGGGTAGTATATATTTATAGCTTTTTATATTAGTCTTATTTCCCATTTTTTTTGTTTTCTTCATTTGTTCCAGTGGATTTGAGTTACCATTTGGAGTCACTTCTTTAGTTCAATAGTTTTGCTTCCACCCACTTCCTTTATTCTGTAATTGGAAAATACAGTACAGTTTCATATGTTATAGGCCCCAAAATGCAACTACATACATACTGGTCTATAAAACTTTTCAATTAAAAGGAAAATTAACTTAAACTGGCTTTTTACAATTATAGTAGAGGCCTGGTGCACAAAATTCATGCGCTCCGGAGGGGTCCCTCAGCTGGGCCTGCACCCTCTCACAGTTCAGAAGTCCTTGGGGGATGTCAGACTGATGGCTTAGGCTTATTCCTGGGCCTAAACTGGCAGAGGCTCCCACCACCACTATTGCACTTGCCAGCCATTAGCCCAGCTTCTGGCTGTGTGGTGCTCCCCCTGTGGAAGCGCACTGACCACCAGGGGGTAGTTCCTGCATTGAGTGTCTGGCCCCTAGTGGTCAGTGTGCATCATAGCGACTGGTCGTTCCACTGTTTGGTCTATTTGCATATTAGCCTTTTATTATATAGGATAATTAAATTTACCCATGTTATTTTTTCATGGGTATGTTTAGATTCAAATTACTGTCTGAGTGATCTACCTGAAGAAATTTCTTTACTATTTCCTGTAAATCAGGTGTGCCAATAGCAAATTCTTCATTTTTGATTACATGGGAATATCTTTGTTTCATCGTTTTTGAAAAATCATTTTATTGGATGTAGGATTCTATATTGACATTTTTTTTTTCCTTTGAGCACTTTGAATATGTTATCCCATTGCCATCTCCATTGTTTCTGATGAGAAGTCAGCTGTTAATCTTATTGGCAATCCATTGAGTCTAATTTTTCTCATGTTGCTTCCAAGACTATCTTTGCGTTTTAGCATTTTTATTATAATGTGTCTGTAGATTTCTTCTTGTTACCCTACTTGGAGTTCACTGAGATTCTTGGATGTGAAGATAATGCTTCTCATTGATTTGGGGTGTTTACAGCCATTATTTATTAGAATATTTTTTCTGTTTCTTTCTCTTCTTTTTTTCTGGTACTCCCATTCCAAGTGTGTTGGAGTACTTAATGATTGTATACTCTGTTCTTTTTTTTTTTTCTGCTCTTCAGCGTGGATAATACCATCTCATTTAATTCTTACAACCCAATGAGGTAAGGAGTATTATTCTCTTCATTTTATAGATGAGAAAACTGAGGCTCAGACTAAGTGACTTGTCAAGGTCATGGAGTGGTAAGTGTGGCTATGAAGTTCACAGGTGTGAGTCCAAAGTTTATACCACTTCCTCTATACCATACTGTCTTTCATTTCTCCAACAAATAAGTGGGGAATTTGGGAGTGGCCTCCTCTCTTCTAGATAACTCTTTTTTCCCATATCCCCTTTAGTATTTTTTCTAGTATGTTCCTCTTCTAGAATGCATATACCTAATACCTAACATATATTAGATTCTTATTCAATGTTTATTGCTTGAGATTCAATTATTACTCAATTGTAGCTAATTTAATGACCAGGGAAACATCACTATAGAGATCTAGATGGTTTCATTAGAAAAATATATGGCTTTTTTAAGACACTGATAACTTAATAGAAAGAATTCATTAAATATGTGTATTGACATGTGTATCAGATCCTACTGTTATTGCTGATATTTCTCATTTAACAGCATTTGTTGATGTTTAGGTTTAGGGCCTAGTCATTCATTTACTATGTGAATACAATTAGGGACAAATGGGCTCTAATAAATAAATATTTTAACCTTTAGTTTTTTAGTTCTGTATATAAATGGCAGTCTTGGAAATAATGCTATCTCTAGGGGTAAGTATTTAAGACTACAGATAAAGTATAAAGATTTAAAATATGCTTGGAAATAATCCTTTGTAATTTATCCTGAGAAAATGATACTCTTTGTACCCTATCCTTCATACTTGGTATCTTATTTGTCATGTATAGTCTTTGATTATAGAAAATATTTTCTACCAATTCTTTCCAAAAGCTAAAAGGATTATCTTAATTAGGTTTTTCTTCCTCAGTTTCTCTTCAATTCCAAACACACTGCTATCTATATAGAAATCCTAGATCCAAGATTCTGATGCAAGAAAGACTTCCTGGGACTCACAATCTATATATCTTCTAGCTGCCACTGGTTTTTGTAGTGTTTTCTGTAGCAGATGATCTGAGAGAAGCAGCATGGAGATCAGAATGTTTTTTGTTCTTTCCGAATTCTATCACCAAAATTTTTCCATGTAGTTTATATCCATTTATTAGATGAAATGCTTGCCATGCTATCTCCTTATCTAAAAGAAAGAAAAAAAAATCAATTTACACAGGGTTTAATAATACAATTCTATTTCCAGTTTATTTTTTGTTTGTTTGTTTGCCTTGGAGTTAAATGTAGGCTACTAGGCCATATAGCTATTTGATTTTATTATCTTTTCCATAATTTCATATTTTTATAATTCAGCAATATTACATAAATGGCTAAAAATAATGACTAGAAAAACTTAAAGTGGCTATATGAGAGTGCCTCATAATTTAAAAAAAGAAAAATATAGTGTGCAAAAGAAGGCTAAACTATAACTATTAATACACAAGCCTCTATCTTAGATAATAGATTATAGGTATTGTGAGAATTAAGTCATTTTCAAAATGGGCAACACAAATAAAAGAGGTTATCATGGTATCAAGGTCATTTTGCTACTTTTATCTTTTGATAGGAGAGTAACTGTGAGAGCCCTCATGGAGATAAATAAGTATAATAAACCTTGTAAGTATATGGAGATTTGCAGAGTAACAGTACATAGTGTACAGTAGTATGTGTCTCAGACCCTTGAAGTGGGAAATCAGGAAGGAGTGCAATTATTGACCAGAGTCTGTGAAATCAAAAGTAGATAAGCAATATCTTTAGACTGAACCAATTTATGTATATGCTACAAATTTTAAAATGTGGATAGCTGCTATTATGATTAGTAAAACAGCTATCCATTTGAAAGTACTTAGTTTATAAAGCCTTTTTATTACATATTTTCTTAATTAATATAGCATATAAAGTTTAAAAAGGGTCCCGACACTTAAAAAGTCTAAAAACCACTACTGAAGAACATCCACAAACCTTCTACAAGATAGCAAAGATGGTACAAGACTAGTAGACTTTGGAACTGCTCAAGTGTAAATTACTCGCCTGTATAGAGATTCCTAGGCTGTTTATAAATGATGATAGTTCAGAAATAATGAAAGGAAGAGCTAATAACCAGCCTGCACCAAAGGGGAAAAAAAAAGATAGTCTGGTCTGTCAGAGAAACTGAAATTCTTGTATTATTTGTTCCCTTTAGATTAGGATACTGAAATTATGAATTATGAATTCATAATTATCAATTCCTCTAATTGAATTACCAGTGAATTAGCATATTACTTTATAGTTTCTTAATCTTAAAGGAATAGGGCATTAAGCAAGTGTAAGAGTTCTGATCAGAATCCAAAAAGTAATCTATATAATAAAAGCCTAAGCAACCATTATGGTGGAACAATCAGAATGACAGGTCACTATGATGTGCACTGACCCCCAGGGAGTAGACGCTCAACGCAGGAACTCCCCCCTGGCGGTCAGTGTGCTTCCACAGGGGGAGCCCTGCTCAGCCAGAAGTCAAGCTCACAGCTGGTGAGCGCAGCAGCAGTGGTGGGAGCCTTTCCTGCTTCCAGGGCAGCACTAAGCAAGGGCTCCCAGACTGCGAGAGGGCGCAGGCTGGGTTAAGGAACACTCCCACCTCCCCAAGTGCATGAATTTCATGACTGGGCCTCTAGTATAATTATAACAGACTACAAACATTATTGTTATCAAGGGTAAAATAAATTTTTTAAAGGTAAAGTTAATTTTGCCCTGGCCGGTTTGGCTCAATGGATAGAGCACTGGACTATGGACTGAAGAGTCCCAGGTTTGATTCCAGTCAAGGGCACATGCCCAGGTTGCAGGCTCGAATCCCAGTTAGGGCGTGCAGGAGGCAGCCGATCAATGATTCTCTGTCATGATTGATGTTTCTATCTCTCTCTCTCCCTCTCCTTTTCTCTGTGAAATCAATAAAAATATTTTTTTTAAAGGTAAAATTAATTTTGATAAAGTGAGAAGAAAGTTTCAAGACTGGGGAAAATTGAAGACAACGGAGTAAGGTGGTCATGCACAGTCAATGGACGAGAGGAAGCACAGAAGCAGTACAGAGGAATATTGAAAACATTTTGCTTAATTCTCTTCTATTCTTCTCATGTGCTTGTTTAAGCACATGCTTCTCATGCGTTATATGTAAATCAAAGGATTGTATCCAAATTAGAAAGGGTATACTTAGTCTCTAATGCTGATGCTACAACTGAGTAATTATCCAGATAAAGCTACTTACTGGGAAAGGTGATAAAAGCTTGCCCCCTCATTCGTCCAGTCATCATTCGGAATTGAATTGGAGGTCCTTTTTTCTCCTGGAACCGAGCGAACAATGATACAAGATCTCTTTCGGTCACCCGAGGGCTAAGGTTCTTCAGGTATAACACCTAATATAAATTGAAGATCAACAAAAATATCACATAAGGGAAATAAGGCAACTATTTCATTGTGGTTAGAATAGATAAAGACGGTGGATTGAACACATGCATCTAATTTCACTCTCTCCAGAAAAATCTCAAAAACTGTAGGATTAAAAAAATACAACACAACTCTACAAGGTTAGGAAAAACAAGGAAAAGAAGCAATAGTAACAATATTCTGGAAGCTGGAAGCTTGGATAAGTATCCTCAAGAAAACTGAATCTTCAATCAGCAATAGGGAAAGCCAGAAACCAACCCCATCTACACCTAAGAATTCTCAAACAGTTCAGATATTGGTAGTTTTAGGTAGCACTAGAGATGGATTAAAAGTGGGGTTAAAATAAGGTGTTTGGTTGAAAGCTGTTTAAAAACCAACTAGACTTTAAAATATCCCCTCACCCCCCTTATAATTATGTTGCTGGGTAAAGGCCACTCCCAATCCTGGTGAATACTAGAGGTTTATTCTCTGAATATGGGGGATGCTAGATACAGTTGAAGGTGTGAATTCTGTTTCTGAAAGCAAGGTAATTAAGATAAATACTTCATATTGAATACTGAGGATACCCCAGACAGTTTCCCCCATTTGGCTCCTATATTGCTGGTAGTACCTTCCCAAGCAGTAGTGTCCTCTCTGAAGAATTTGACTAGCCCCAAGAGGAAAGATCTAAAAAGTACTAATTTGGGATGGGGAATTTCTCTAACAAATGGACCAGCCAGATGACTTTAAAGTGAAGCTCAAAGTCAACAAGAACCACTCATGTACTCAAAGCTTCTAATCTGTTTTTGGCTCCTACTCATAAATATGAGTATGGATCATCAGGCATCTGAGGAAAGACTCTAACGTGAAAGACAGAGAACAGAACAAACAAACAAAAAGGAAAGCAAATAGGAGAAAACAGAGACCATGCAAAGAAAAAAAAAAAACTTCAAAAATTATCACAAATACCCTCAGAGAAATGAGACACTATTCTATCTATTCAAGAAAATTTTAAAAAGCTCATTAATGTGATCCAAGTTAAACTCTTATTGACTTAAAATAGATTGTTATAACTTTAAGAAACTTGTTAAAAGTTTAAGTAAGCCCAGACTGTAAGCATAAAGAAAATACCTATAGAAGATACACAAAAGAAAATGAGGAAAAAGCATATAACAACAACAACATCAATGAATCACTAAGGTAGACATTAAGAGAAAAAAAAAGATAAAAGAGTTACAATTGTGACAGAAAACAACTAATAAATGGCAATAGGGAGTCCTTCCCTATCAATAATTACTTGTAAATGGGTTTAACTCCTTTGTCAAACACATAAAGTGGCCAAATGAATAAAAAACAAGATCAATGTATGCTATCTAAAAGAAACTCACTTTTGATTTAAGGTCACATATAGGCTGAAAATTGGAAGGATAGAAAAAAATATTCATGCAAATGGTAACCAAAAGAACAGGGATATATAAAAATAATAGACTTTAAGTAAAAACTGTCATAAGAGACAAAAAAGGACATTATATGGTAACAGGGTCAATGCATCAGGAAGATATAACCATTATAAATATATATGCACCCAACATTCAGAACACTTAAATATATGAAGCAAACATTGAGAGAACTGAAGACAGAAAATAGCAACACAATACTGTTAGTTTTCAATATCTTGCTTTCAATAGTAGGAGGAAAACTAGAAAATTCACAAATATGTGCAAATTCAACAAATTACTTTATAAAAATATATTTTCATTGACCTCAGAGAAGAAGGGAGTGGGAGACAGAATCATTGATTGGCTGCCTCCTATATGCCCCTACTGGGGATAGAGCCAGCAACCTGGGCATGTGCCCTTGACTGGAATTGAACCTGGGACCCTACAGTCCACAGGCCGATGCTCTATCCACTGAGCCAAACCAACGAGGGCTCAATAAATTACTCTTGATTAACTAATATGTCAAAGAAAAATGTAAAAGTAAAATTAGAAAATATATTGAGAGAGCCCAGCTTGTATGGTTCAGTGGTTGAGCATCAACCTATGAACCAGGAGGTCATGGTTCGATTCCGGGCAGGACACATGCCCAGGTTGTGGGTTCTATCCTCAGTGTGGAGTGTGCAGGAGGCAACCAATCAATGTTTCTCATCATTGATGTTTCTATCTCTCCCTCTCTTTCCTCTCTGAAATCATCATCATCATCACACACACACACACACACACACACACACACACACACACACACACACACAAAAGACCTTGAGATTAAAAAATGAAACCATAATATAAAATGTGATATGTAGCAAGAGCAGTACTAAGAGGTAAGTTTATAGTGGTAAATGCCTATATTAAAAAAGAAGCAAAGCCTCAAATGAACAACTTTATACCTCAAGAAGTTAGAAAAAGAACTAAGCCCAAAGTTAGCAGAAAAAAAAAAAAACTTTAGAGCAGAAATAAATAAAACATAGATTACAAGAATAATTCTTAAAAATCGACTAAATTAAGTTAGTTTTTTTTAAAAAGAGAATATTCTTTTAAAAATGTTTTACTGATTTTTAGAGAGAGAAGAAGGAAGAGGGACAGAGACAGAAACAATGAGAAATGTTATCCATTGGCTGCCTCCTATACACTTCCTACTGGGAATTAAGCCTGCAACCCAGGCATATGCCCTGACCAGGAATAAAACTGGTGACCTATTGGTTCCTTTGTTGACGTTCAAGCACTGAGCAACACTGGCCGGGCAAGAGCTAGTTTTGTTTTGTTTTTTAAGAAATTATTTATTAAAAAATATATTTTATTGATTTTACAGAAAGGAAGGGAGACGGAAAGAGAGAAACATTGATCAGTTGCCTCCTGCACACCCCTACTGGGAATCGAGCCTGCAACCAAGGTACATGCTCTTAGATCAGAATCGAACTTGGGACCCTTCGGTTCATGGCCTGATGCTCTATCCACTGAGCCAAACTGATCAGGACAAGAGCTAGTTTTTTTTTTTTTTTTAATCAACAAAATTGACTACCTTTAACAGTACTAAGAATAAAAAAGACTCAAAATCAGAAATGAAAGAGGACACAACTAATGTTGTATAAATAAAAAGGATTATAAAAGATTACTATGAACAATTCTTTGACAACACATTGGTTAAACTGGAAGTTTCTAGAAACATACAACCTACACTAAGACTAAATTATTGTATAAGAAATAGAAAATGTGAACAGATTTATAATTAGTAATGAGATTGAATCAGTAATCAAAAACCTCCCAACAAAGGAAGCACCAGAACTAGATAGCTTCATGGGTGAACTCTATCAAACACTTAAAGAATTAATGCCAATCCTTCTCCAACTCTTCCAAAATATCAAAGAGGAGGGAACAATTCCAAACTAATTTTTATGAGGCCAGCATTATTCTGATACCAAAAGCAGAAAAAGATATTACAAGAAAAGAAACCTACAGGACAATATCCCTGATCAATACAGATGCAAAACTACTCAGCATAAAATTAGTAAACTGGATTCAAAAGCACATTAAAAGGGTTTTACACCACGACCAAGGGTTATTTATCTGTGGAACATAAGGATGGTTCAACACATGAAAATCAATAATTGTGACACACCACATTAACAGAATGAGGAATAAAATCACGTGATCATATCAATTGATGCAGAAAAAGCATTGACAAATTCCATGATTAAAAATGCTCAATTAATTAGGAATAGAAGGAATTTACCTTAACATAATAAAGGCCATATATGCAAAGGCCACAGCAAACCTCTTACTCAGCAGTGAAAAACTTAAATCTGATCCTCGAGGATTAGAAACATGGCAAGGATGCCCACTCTTCTCACTTCTATTCAACATAGTATTACTAAAAGTCATAGTGAGAGCAATTAGAAAAGAATAAAATAAAAGGCAACCAAATTAGAAGGGAAGAAGTAAAATCATATCTGTATGATATGATCCTATATGTGGAAAACCCTAAAGACTTCATAAAACTTAAAAGTAATAAATTCTGTCAAGTTGCAGGATACAAAAACAACATACAAAATTTTGATGCATTTTTAATTTTTAAAAATTTTATTTTAAAAAATATGTTTTATTCATTTTTCACAGAGAGGAAGGGAGAGGGATAGAGAGTCAGAAACATCAATGAGAAAGAAACATAGATCAGCTGCCTCATGCACACTCCCTACTGGGGATGTGCCCACAACCAAGGTACATGCCTTTGACCGGAATCAAACCTGGGACCCTTCAGTCTGCAGGCCAATACTCTATCCACTGAGCCAAACCTGTCAGGGCTTGATGCATTTTTTAAAACAATAAATGGTCTGAAAAGAAAATAATTCCATTTATATAAGCATCAAAAAGAATAATATACTTAGAAATAAAGTTAACCAGGGAGCTGAAAGGCTAATAAACAGAAAACTAATTAACACTGAGGAAAAAATTGAAAAAACAAAACAAAAATAGAATACAGAAATAAACACAAATAGATGAAAAGATATTCCATACTCATGGATTGGAAATATTAACAATGTCAAAATGTCTAAACTATCCAATTCTTATAAAATTCCTAATGGCAATTTACGTAAAAAAAATCCTAAAATTCATATGGAACCACAAGAAACCCTAATTAGATAAAGTACTATTAAAAAGAACAAATCATATATATATAAAAAAAGAACAAATCAGGAGCCATTACATTTCCTGATTACAAATGACTGTTATCAAAATACCGTGTTTCCCCGAAAATAAGACATCCTCTGAAAATAAGACCTAGCGCATGGAAAGATAAGACATCCCCTGAAAATAAGACCTAGCGCAACTTTGGGAGAAAAAATTAATATAAGACAGTGTCTCATTTTCGGAGAAACAGGGTAGTATTGTAGTGGCATAAAAAAGACATATTGAGCCCTAGCTGGTTTGGATCAGTGGATAGAGCATTGGCCTGCCGACAGAAGGGTTCTGGGTTCAATTCCCATCAAGGGCAC